ACTTTACGGACTGATTGATGAATGATTTATCACTTTACGGACTGATTGATGAATGATTTATTACTTTATGGACCAAATGCATTGAGCTCATGGCCTTCATTTGCTCCGTGGGCCATCAGTTGATGATTACTGCGATATGTATTTAAGCAAAGTAAAACTGAGTCACAGCTGGAGTCTGACCTCTTCCTGCTCGTCCTCGGAGTCGTCGTCACTGACCACAGGTTTGGCTCGAGTCCGTCCTGACCGCCTACTGCGACCTTTCCCTCGATCGCCACCTTTCTCCTTCCTGCCCAGCCTGATTTTCACCTTCACAGAGCGCGCTGTGAACGCACAGAGTCGACGTTTACAGAAATGTGAGGATGAAGGTGACCAGGAGAGACTACACCTCACTCCTGGAACAATCAGTGGATTCAACCTTAAATATGTCCATGGACAACAAGAAGGAGTTGAAACGCTTACATTCAGACTCTGAGCCGTCCTCCTGCTCCTCCTCCTCTTCCTCGCTCTCCTCTCCATCACTCTCCTCCTCCTTCTCGATCTTCTGCTTCAGGCTGGTGAACACTGACTGGAGAACGATGGAGTCTTCATAAATCTGATCAGAACAAACATCATCAGATACTAGTGGCACATCCTAAATGTTTCTGAACAGACTCGCTCCGGGACAACAGGCGTGTGAGCAGCAGCAAGGAGCAAACATCTGGAGACGATTTCAACGTCCATCACGTGAAGAAACACAGTCTCACCAGGGAGCCCTCCAGGTTGAAGGTCTGAGCGTTTTGGAAGAGCAGCATGACGTCTCTTTCCAGGTCACCCAGGCTGCGGTAACGATGACTTCGAATCCTCTCCTGCAGGAAGACACATGTAAGAAAAAAGCACTCAAGTATTATGGTATGAACTTTACGACATTTAAATTGACCCAAGATTGTTCGTCTATTCTTGGTCTCAGCAGAAGAAACCTGTCCACAGAAGGACCACTTTACCTTGATCTTCCTGAAGTCCACTGGCTTGCGGATTAGTTCGTAATATTCTGGCAGCTCTTTTCGAGACGGCAGCTGGATGAACACCTCGCTCAGCTGACGCCCGCTGGTGCTGCAGGAAATCACAGCGTCAGGAGACTTTCAGAAACTTTGAAGTGGTTCAAATGGATCAAAAGTCGTTTTGTTTCAGTGATGAATGGGACGGACAGCTGCCGGCTCTGACTGGAGTCAGTGTCTCCATCTCTGCTGATGATGAAGATGTTTGCAGTTCAGAACGGTATCTGTTCTCGAACACGTGGACAAACTGCACGCAGAACGATATGAGCCCATCTGTGATGCAGCAATCCATAGCCTGAACAAGCTAAGACCTTGTTCTGTCTTTGACCTTGACCTTTGAACCTTGACCTTGGAGCTGGGGCGATGCACAGCGTATGCGACACCCCGTCTAGTGATGATGCAGATGTGCATGAGGTTTCATTAAATGATCTCGAGCAGATCAGAGGTTATGGCTCGGAGAGGAGAAAGGCGGAGACTATTCCAGGATACGCCCGGCGGTCGTGCAGAACCTCCTCCTGCACCGGACACGTCTAACCTCGAACCTGATCGGTCACCAGAAGCAGAACCCGGTACGAGGGGATCCATTTGTGGCACTGACAGTTCTGGAGTGTAGTGCAGACCCAGGTGTCCAGCTGTCTGGTTATTTCTGGAGTTTTTGGTGACATTTTGATTCCTTCTAGAGACTGAACATGTAAACTGTAAATTTAAATGGACTGCACCTATACAGCTCCTTTCTGTTGGATCAAGAACTCAAAGCTCTTTACAACAAGCTGTGCCTCATGTACCCGTTCATACAGCTCTATACTAGATCTCTACAAAGACTAATCAGAGCTTCATCACATTCAGACACTGATGGGACACATCGGAGGCAACGAGGGGTTCAGTGTCTTGCCCAGGGACACTTCAGCATGTGACTTCTGGTGGAATCGAACCCCCAACCCACTGGAGGACGACTGCTCCAACCACTCAGCCACAGCCGCCCCACGATCCTCTGTAAAATGAAGAATTACTTTGGCCTGCAATGATTATTTAATAAAACTTTGTGTGTTAAGGTCTCGTTCTCATAGAAAAGTCATATATGAAGGAAAATGTAACATTTTTATTATTATTATTATTATTTTATCTGCACATGGTGTTTTCCTGCATCAGCCAGAGGTCATGGTGGACTCGTTCTGTGAAGCAGGTCCATTCAGTAAATATTTCACAGCTTCTACTGAAAAACATGAGTTCTGTGTAAACCAGCAGAGATCTCGTTTTACTTCCCCTCTCTCACCTGTCTTTGTATTTTATGACAGCGTCCACAATTTTCTTCATCTTCTTTGTGAGGGAGGGGGGATTGGGGGACAGTTTCTCTACCGGTGGGCGTCCCCTCTTCCTCTGCCTCTTCCCGTCATCGTCTCTGTCCCCTCGTCCTCGGCTCCCAGAGGAACCGGAGGGACCAGGGTGATCCAGGTCACGGTCCCGCCTCCTCTTGCGGGTCGTCTTTTTGTGGCGCACTTCTTCCTCCACCTCCTCGAGCGTGCCTTCCTCAATCGCCTGCAGACGCAACGTGACACGTTACCCTCCAGCTGTTTCACATTCTGGATCCATTTGATCTGTTCCCAAAACCACCTTGAGCCATTGCTTCTCTGTCAGGGAATCGCTGTAGTCCACCTCCTTCCGCTGCCGAGAACCTCGCCCAAACATTTTCTCCTCCTCCTCCTCGCAGGTCAGCCGCTCGACTTCAGCGTCGTCTTTCATGATCCAGGTGGGCAGCTCGTCCTCCTCCATCAGGCGGGGTTTTCGCCGGGGGTTGCGGGCCTCTTCGCGACGCCTGTCCAGATCCATGCGCTGCAGGAAAGACCAAGAGCAGAAGAAACTGAGACGCAAGAAGAAAGAAAAGCTTCTGGCTGAAGTGGAATCAGAGCGATTTACCATGAACTGCTCAAACTCTTCTTCACTCCTGGCGATCATCTGGTTCACCGTCTCATCATCGGGCACCTCGTCCTCCTCCTGAATACAGCAGACACACATTGGCAGGCAGCGTACATAAGACCAGACTCTGAAACTGTGTGTTGCAGGTGCACGGACACACATTCATGACTTCTTGACCCCAGACCTCGTCTTGCTCCTCGTGCTCCAGGATGGCCTGCAGGAAGGCCCTGCGCTCGTGGCTGGAAGACTTCTGGTCAAACATGCCAGCCTGAATGACCTTCTGGTCCACGTTGAGTTTGTATTTAGCTGCTGCCAGGATTTTTTCCTCCACACTATTGACTGTGCAGAGACGCAGCACGCGCACCTCGTTCTGCTGACCGATGCGGTGGGCTCGGTCCTGAGCCTGCAGGTCCTGCAGAGACATGAGGACCGCTCAAGACAGATAGGACACGTTTAGTTCTGCAGAGGCACCACGTCTCTCGTGGGGTGGCAGAAAACAGCCAACGACTGAAAACACGTCTGACTTTACACACAAAGTCCGTTTCATTTGACTGACTTTCCTTTTTCATGAATCCTATAGTTAGTCGGCTCGGTTTCCTGACCTGTTCCTTATCCTATGCTGCTATAACCTCAGACCTCATTTCATCAAATGAACAGTTTACAAATGAAGTTTGTATTTGTAATCATTCTTTCTGAACATGATTCTGTCTTTTTGTCTTTCTAGAGAAAACCTGAAGGCCTCCTGGACCTGCCATTGTGTATCTATTCCTACCAAACCCAGCCGGTTGAAGCAGATGGTCCTCTTGTCCTGATCCTGGTTCTGCTAAAGGTTTCTTCCTCATGAGAGAGTTTTTCTTTCCACTGTCGCCTTCATGCTTGTTCAAGATGAGAGTTCAGTGATGGAGTTAAACTCAAAGCTGCTCCTCAGATAAATAATGTTCAATTATTATTTTATAGATGAATGTTTCTGTTCAATTATTATTTTATACATGAATGTTTCTGTTAATTATTATTTTATACATGAATGATTCTGTTCAATTATTATTTTATACATGAATGTTTCTGTTCAGTGCCTGAGACGACTTCTGTTGTGACTTGGAGCATTAGAAATAAACTGAATTGAACTGAATTGAATTGAACTGAATTGAATTGAATTGAATACTGCTGTCATGACAAAAAACATTATATTTAAAAATGTCTTTTTGCTTTAGGAGGCCGTATATTTTTCTTTATCTTATGATGATTTTTGTTGTATTTTTTCTGCACATTCTGAAAAAGGCAGCTTTAACTTGATGCTGATCTTTGTGGAAATATCTGAACGCTGAAAGACGTGAGTTTCAAACCTGATGTGGGTTCCAGTCCGAGTCAAAAATAATCACAGTGTCGGCAGACTGCAGGTTCAGACCGAGACCTCCTGCTCGTGTGCTCAGGAGAAAGATAAAGTACTCCGACTCTGGGTCATTGAATGTCTTCAGTAACATCCCTCTGTCTTCAGCCTTCGTGGTGCCTGACGTGTAGACCACGTGAGAAAACAGGAAGAGCGACAGAGATGCAGGCAGGCCCAGACAACGTGACAGGGCTGTGTTTTATACGCAGTACATCATGAAGGTCTTACCATCCAGGCGCAGGTACTTGAAGCTGCGGTAGGCGAAGTAGTCCTCCATGATGGTCATGAGCGAGGTCATCTGACAGAAGAGCAGCACCTTGTGGTTGGTGGCTCTTAGCTTTGGCAGGATTCGATCCAACACTTCAAACTTTCCCGATGCTCGATACAGGTCAGGGCTGGCAGACGGATGGAGGTGTTACCATGGAGATGGAGGTGTTACCATGGAGACAGTTTATTTGAGTTCCAAATAAAGAAAAGTGAGCAGGGCCTTACCCCTGGACTATCCCACCGGAGAACCCTAAATGTTCAGAGAAGGACTCCTGGAAACGAACAGATTCAGGCTTCAGCTTCTGTTTTCACTGCGTTCACGCTTCATCTGTCACTCACCTCGATCTGCTGAAACATGTAAGGATGGTTGCAGATCTTCCTCAGCTGCATGATGGTGTTCATCAGTGTCTTTGTGCCTCCTTTTCCCTGGTTAGCACAGACATCAAGATGGTTTACATAAAACTGCAGCATGTGGCGCAGGGTCCTGGTTTTTAATATTCAAACATTGAGAAATGGTGCTGAAGTCAGAAAACACCGGACCTCTTTCCACTAGCGCCTCTTTGGCACGGTTCGACTCGGTTCGGCACGGTTCCAAGGCTTTTCCACCAGCAGTTGTTCGTGGAATCAGACCCTTTTTCAGAACCCACTTTGCTTCAGTTCTAAGCGTATCGTGCTGGCCCTAGAACGTGACGTCAGAACACTGTTGGTCACTGACTGGTCAGGGGGCGGAGCCACTGGTTGTTTGAGAAACTTTCACAACATTCCAATCCGCTATTTGCAATAACTCAAACTTTGATGAGCGACTGGACCTATTGTAAAGATTTTAAAAACAATAATGACAACACTGTGGTCTAATGATGAAGTGCAGGCGTTTTTTGTGCTTGGTGGCCGACAACAAAATTCACAGCGAGCTGGATGAGCTCTGCCGGTCCCCCCGGTCCTCTGCACCGGAGCCTCGGAGCCCCCTCAGGCCGGCCAGGACATCATCATCCCGGCTCCGAGCGCCACCGGTCAGGGCGGAGGATCATATGAGCTGCCGACCCACAGGAGAGCGTGAGGCCGGGGCCCCGTTAGACAAGTGGACTGGGACGGGTCTGGGATGGAGGGTGGAAACAATTTTTTACAAACATTTTATGTAATGTACTTGTTTATCAGTGAAGATTAAAAAAATTAATAAACGGTGCCGGCTTGATAATGAAATCCTGTTTGCACTTTAACGACTATTAAATAATCTGTTAAAATTAACTCGGCTGAAAAATCATAAAAAGACACAAAATTATTGGATCTCAGGAATATTTCCCTCAAACATGTTTAAAGAAGAGAGACGGCCTTTAGTTCAACTTTATTCTAACACACACACGTACAAGTCACTAAACAAGAACTTTAAAGCAAAGCTAAAAATAAAAAAAATCTGTATACAAGAAACAAAACCACACGTTTAATAGAACAATAAAAGTAGACACGAGTGCAAATACATCAAATGATGAAGAAAACCTATAAAATT